GATGCAGGAAGTGTGGGGCTGGGAGCCAGAGTGGGTGCTGGTCTGGATGAACTGGGAAGCTGTGCTTGGGCAGGCATGGGCTGGCCTGGGGACAGCAGGCTGGGCCACTACTGTCCTGCTGGTGCCAGCACAGGTCTGTCCCTGCAGCTGCACTGGGCTGTGTGCCGAGACTGGCCGCGTTGCGTCCCCTGCCTGCACGTGCCCTAGTGCCCGGGGGAGGCGGTTTGGGGTGGAGCCCACTCCCCCTGCCAGGCAAGGGATGCCACTTTGTGCCCTGCAGTGCCAAGAAGCGAAAACCTGCCTGGACTGACCGCATCCTCTGGAAGATCAAATCTCCTGGCGGTGGGCTCGGTGCAGCTGGACGTCGGCCCAGCCGAGGCGTCCTCTCGGTGAGCCAGCTCTGCTACTGCAGCCACATGGAGTACACCATCAGCGACCACAAGCCAGTAGCTGCTGTTTTTGCAGTGCAGGTGAGCACTGCCCAGGGTTACTGGGCACACAGGCAGGAGCTGCGAGGGCGAGGTGCCCAGCTGATGTGCGTGGTGTGGGATGGGGCATCCAGGGCTTTTTTTTTGTTGGGTGAGCTCGGCCACCTTGATGCTGGTGGGCAGCTGCTGGTAGTATATGATGAGAGCCCAGCTCTGGGCAGTGGGAGCAGCTCTCTGGCATGCTCTTGCTCACCATGGATGTGTCTGTGACAGTTTGCTTCCAGGCCAGACAAGCCCCCGGTTGAGATTTATGTTGCTGACGAGTGGAACAGGCCTGAGCAGGCAGTTGTCAGGTACAAGATGGCCGCTGGCTTCCACCGGAGCTCCTGGGACTGGATAGGACTCTACCGGGTAGGGGCCTGGGGGCTGATGGGGCTGGAGGGAGTGGGGAGCACTGCACAGCACTGAGGGGTCCCTTCTGAGCTCCCCACCACCAGCATGCATGGGTGCCTGGCATGGACCTGTGCTTTGCGTTCTCCCTTCCCTGGGAAGCCCTGGCAGTTAACAGCACCACTTGGCCTTGCTTCAGGAGGCTCAGATCCAGCTATCTGCTTTTTCTTCCTGCTCTGTAGCCCCCTCAGTGTCCAAAGCCTGGTGCTCCTGGGGGGGCTGGGGCATTGCTGGGTGGGTGCAAGGCAGCTCTTGGTTTCCCTGCGCTGGGAGAGGGGGCTGAGTGAGAGGAGAGCTAGGGCTGAGCATGGGTGATAGTGCTGAGCAGGGCTGCTGCTGCCCCACTTGCCTGTGTTCTGTTTCTGCGCACGTAGGTGGGCTTTCGGCATCCTAAAGACTATGTGTCCTACGTCTGGGCCAGGAGTGACGATGCAGAGCGCTGCCTAGAGAAGCAGCTCTGTGTCCAGGTGAGCTGGGGCCAGCCCTGCTGTCCTGGGGAGGACAGTGGCCCCGTGGTGCCCCTGCTGGGGCAGGAGGGCACCTCCTTGCTTTGGGCTGGGCCTTGGGCAAACTCACTGTGGTGACATCTGGGATTTCTGGTCTCAGCTGAGGCTGGAGCTCTCTCTGGGGCTGGAGGTGGGATGGGGCACCTGTGTGTCCTGCCCTGGTGCCCATCAGCTGTCTCTGGGCTGCAGGTGATGTTCTCAGAGGAGGCGTTGCCCAAAGGGAAGGGCGAGTACATCCTCGGCTACTACAGTAGCCCCTCCAGCAGCATCGCTGGTGTCACTGAGCCATTCCAGGTCAGCAGGGGTGAGGGCCTGAGGGAGGCGGGGGCATGTGTGTCAGGGGGTGCTTGGCTGCGGGAGGCAGCTGGCTGCTGTGGTGCCCCACAGCCCCCTG